TTAGATGTAGAAACAGACTTTGACAAAATCCAAGATCCCCTCATTATAAAAGTCCTGGAGAGATTAAGGCTATAAGGGACATGCCTTAATATAATAAGGGCAGTTTACTGCTAGCCCACAGCTAAAATCAACTTTAATGGATAGAAACTCATAACAATTCTATCAGAATCAGAAACAAAACAAGTTTGTCCATTCTTCAATATAGTACTTGAAGTCCTGGGTAGAGCAATATGTCAACCGAAGGCAATATTAATTGAAAACAAGGACGTCAAAATATGGTTTTGTTTCATAGATTATATGGCAGTATACATAACTGAATCCAAAATGTTCACCAGGAAACTCCTCAGATGAGAAACACTTTTAGCAAAGTAGCTGGATAAAAAAACAAACTCACAAAAATCAGCAACCCTCCTGTACACAAATGGCAATCAGACAGAGGAAAGAAATATCAAAGAAACAGCACCCTTCAAAATAGCCTCAAATATTATAAAACATTTTGTGATAACTCTAACCAAGCTTGTAGTAGACTTTCATGATAAAAACTTTAAGACACTGAAGAAAGAAATTGAAGATAGCATTGGAAGATTGAAAGATCTCCCTTTCTCATGGAGTGGTGGAATTAACTTAGTAAAAATGGCCATCCTACCAAAAGCAATCTATAAATTCAATGCTATCCCTACCAAATTCCAACACAATTTCACATATCTTGAAAAGACAATTTTCAGCTTCATATGGAAAAAATCAAACAAGCAAAACCAGGATAGCTAAAACAGTCCTGAACAGTAAAAGAACTGTTGGACACATCACCATTCCTGATTTCATGTTGTACTACAAAGCTACAGTTGTAAAAAACAGCATGGCATTGTCATAGAAACCGTCATGTTAAGCAATGGAATAAAACTGAAGAGTCAGTAAAATGAATCCTAATGTCATTCTGCTACACTCGTTGTTCACTGCTTTGCTCAACCATTATCAGAGAAGTCTCTTCCTGACAAGGATGGGAACATATACAGAGACCCATTGACAGAGAATGATGGTCCTTGGAACACTCAGCCCTGAATGGGATGTCTCTATCAAATCCTTCCCTTCAGAGTTTAGCAAATCCTGCAGAAAAGGAGCAGGAAGGGTATAAGATCCAGAGATGGAGGTAATCAAGAAAACAACACCCTTTCAGTCAACAGGATTGACACACATACTGAACACAGAAACTGAGGCTTCAAGCAAGTGGCCTGAACAGATCTATGCTAGATAACTCCTAGAGATGACAGAAGTGTCACGCCTCCCTCCGTACCTAACCAAATATGCGGAAGCAATCACCAAATGATACCCACTTGTAAATGAAGATTTAGTTTGCTCCAAGGGAGTATCACTAGAGAGATAGTCTACTATTAAGGGCAGGCTGCATGCCCAGCAATAAACTGACCAATGGAAAATGAACTCACTGGCACCTTGTCTGATAATCAAGTCCTGTCAGGACTTTTCTTTTGTGTATTGTCATGTTACAGTGACCCCCCCAACCACAAAATCATTTTGCTGCTACTTCATAACTGTCATTTTGCTACTGTTATGAATCTTCATGTAAATATTTGACATGCAGGAGGGCTAACATGCAACCCCCGAAGCGGTCAAAACCCACAGGTTGAGAACAACCTACTAAGGAGTCTTTCCTTTTCAGTCAGTGCCTGTGCTAGGAATAGAATCTCGGTCCCATTTGAAAGAGCATCCAGTGCTTCTGATGGTCGAGTCATCCATCTCTCCAGCCCAACACACTGATTTTTAATGTTCAAATTTTTCTTACAGAAATTGTCTTTAGTTGAAAATTTTAGCCTTACCTCCTCAAATTTCTGAGTTCCTTTAAGCTATGCTTTGATGTTAACAGTTTCCCAAATGTGGACTACTTTTTTTTTCCTCCCATTTTAGTCAATCTTATTCAAATTTCAAAGCCTAATTCCAAATCACTTTTTCTGTAACATATTGCTGATCTTTCTCAGTCTGACTCAATCATTACTTTGTAACGTTTTTTTTTTTAAGAATATTCATGCTTCCAAGTAAATTTCCTAGACAATTTTATACTGATTTGCCTTTAGTGGTATCTCATGATCTTCTCAAGGGAAGAAACAATTATTTCCTAGTCTGTATCATAAGAAACAAGACATAAGCAGTTGCTAAATAGTAAGTGTGGTTAGACTTACACACATGGTGGAAATATTATGTAAATATGGATTATATAAGTAGAGTGCCCTGATAGGTACTGTGCCTTATACCTTTACCAAACACACACACACACACACACACACACACACACACATTCATGCACGTGCACATGCATACACACACAGCCTAGATATTAGTCTTTTGGATTATGTAGAGCTGAAGATTTCTCATATATATCTTCGATGAATCAGCAAGGATTTATAAACATGGAGCATTTTAGGCAATTACCAGTCAATTTTCTTAAAGAAAAACATAATTTAGTATGAAGGATAAAGAATAAATAAGTGTAAAGGAGTCATTTGTTCAGTATTCATCACTGAAGAGAATGTTTAAGTGTTAATACTTAATCTATGTTATGAACATATTAGAAGCATTTTTGCACAGCTCCTAAGTAATATAAATCTGAGAAATACAGTAATATAGCAAACAACAGAATCATGAACCATTAAGGAACTTGAAAAATAGACTGAAGAAGAAGAAGAAGAAAAAGAAGGAGGAGGAGGAGATAAAAATGAGCAGACACCAGAGGAACACCTCCTGAGAAGCCTCTTGAAATAAGTCATATGTCGGCTTGTAACTGCCTCTGTGTATGAAGTGATTTTCTCTCGCACCCATCCATTCTCCCCAATCTCAAGACCCACAATTGACTAAGGCTGGTCCCCAGCAAGTGGCATCCAAAGTGGGATTTCTTTTGAGACATTTTACTCATACTCATTTACTAACCAAACAGAACTAATTTTTAGTGGCATAAAACAGATTTTAATTTAAAAGACACACGGAATCCACAATTTAATACAACCTAATTTAACATCTACACTTTCATTTCCTTTGTTAAGAATGAAGCCAAAGCCAAGCATGTTGGCACACACCTGTAACTCCAGCACTTGGGGAAACAGAGGTAGGCAGATCTCTATGAGTTGGAGGCTAGCCTTGTCTACAAAGCAAATTTAGAACAGCCAAGTTACACAGGGAAACTCTGTCTCGGAAAACAAAACAAAACAACAAAAACAAAATAAAACAAAAAGAACCCGATCAAAACATCATGATTCCATTTCTTGGCCATATCAAAAAAATCAATAAAATATAGAATGAATTTCTCAATTTCTGTCCTTAACAATCTGACATGCCTTCTCATGCCCATTATAAAGTTGCATTTCTTGTGCAGTGAGAAAAGAATTGGCTGAATTCCCAACTTATTAAAATACTATATTGATGGGGAAAGCAATTTATGTGTAGACTTTAGAAAGTGTTCAGCAATTAACCTATAATGGAAATGAGAAAGTCTGCTGCAAAGCAGTGGAAAAGCAAGCCCCACACAGTCCCACAGCAGTTGAGAAGGACTAGAAATCTAAAAGTCTCTGTTTTTCTAATACCCAGAGCAGAACACTAACTACTGGCATCCTACACAAATTCACTGTATTTGACATGCGTGCTGCTAAGGCCTGTTGTAATTTGGCCCTGTCTATGTAACTGCTATTCATATCTAGATGTTTACATAGAGATCAAGATAAGAAAGTATTGGAAGTTTACAATTCATATTCAGCTGTAATCTATGACAACTGTAGATTCTTTGAGTTAGAAACAGGGCATCCAGAGAAAGATAAGCTTGTTTGTTCAATCAAATTCATTCTTTCTCTTCTTCCTTGCACATTTCAATACACCAGCGTCAAAGCACCTTATCGCTTTTTTGCCTCTCTGGCAAGACCCCACTGCATTCTTTCTGAAGCCCTACTATGTGCTCTTGAGCACTCAAATGACAAAAACATAGCTCCTAATTCCTGAAAAGACAGAGCAATAAACGAGTATAGTGTTGTGTAATACCAAACAATGAAAGTTTTTCCGATGGTTGTTTCTGAGGGATGGCATTTCATTCTAGTGGGTGGAACTAGTGACAGAGAAAAGGTTCCAAGAGAAAGCAGAGCAAAGAGGGAACTGAGAGAGATAAGAATTGGAGAGAGAGAGGAAAAAAACATAAAAATGATATTTTGAAAGAGAATGTTTTCAACAATAAAAGGAAATAACATGACAGTCTGGAACATTAGGAACCCCAGTGTCTCGGTGTACAAACTATAACAGTGACTGTGAGTGGGAATTTAAAAGCTTGTGATTTTAAACTTTCTAACTTTCGCTATTCCTGTGTAGCCAAGAATAGAAAATCTCTTGAGTACAAGAACTCATAACTTCTTTAAGGCAGGTACACCTTTGCTTGGAATCATCTGACTGTTCTTCATTGTACAGGATGAGTTTCAAATTAACAGGAATACCCCTGACCTAGCCCAGAGGCAGAAGCCACTGGTATGGTTTCACCACTTAATGAAAAGGTAACAGACCTAAGGTCCTAACAGCATGAATAAAACAATGGAAAAGCCTGGAAAATACAGCTTATACCTCATGCATGTTCCTTCTAACTTTACTTTCTGAGCATCTGCGTGGAAGTCACTTTCTCATACAAGAGTGGAGAGTCAGATCCATTTTCTGCTTCTCTAGAACCATGGAAACTCTGTCAACATCATCCTTTCTAATGTGGGCGTAACATGAAGAGCAACTCAGAAAAAAACAACAACAGCAACAAAAATGTAACAAGTCATTTCCCACCTCTGTCCCCACCCACTGCAGAGGCGGAGAACGACCCAGAATCTAAACAGAAACAAAAGCAAACCCAGCTAATCGTTTCCCAGGTGAATTGATTTGCTCTCTTTTTGGTAGTCTGGTCTGTTCAGAGCCATATACTTTGAGTTGCAGACACCCTGGCCCACACACTGAAGAGGATAGCTCATGGCACTCACCCACATGGGGTCACTGAAGTCTGAGTCTTGCATTCGAATGCAATCCATGCTAATCTCAATCTTGTTTGTTGCACCATTTTCTGACGGCTCATCCACAAAGTTCAAGTCGATGGGCTGCACTGAACATATAGGCCTAGCACAAGAAGGGAAGAAGGTGTGTATTACCCACTCGGAGAGACCACAACATTCAATGGACTAGTGATGATGAATATTTTCTGCTTCGATGTTGTCAAGTCCTTGCTTAGAGTCAGGAAGCTGAGGTTTGAATCTCAATGATTTACTATTTGTGTAATCTGAGAAAGTCAACCTAAGTCCTCCCGCTCAAGTAGGCCCCATGATCTCTGCTGGATGAATTATGGGCTAACAAGGATAGATCAGGGGCTGTGCTTTCTGCAGGTCCTGGAAGGTCAGTGGTGAGCAACAATCCTTCTGGTGTTCCTTTTTTCATCTTCATAGGTACTTATTAAAACCTGTTTCTGATTAAAATAATAATGAACGGTTTTGATAGAAATATATACGCAACTAATGAAATGGAGTCATTCACTCTCTTAGAGAATGAGTCTTCAGGAAAGAATCCGTTTTGAGACTGGGGAAGATGTTTTGGAGAGTTTGGGGTGGGGGCACTTTAAGAATGTCTACAGGGATATTACTTTGCTGTGCTGATGAGCTTTTGGTTTTGGAAACTAGAAAAAGGAAACTACTTTATTTTAAATGCAGGTATATTATTGAAGGTAATAAATTTCCAAAAATATAACTTTTTGAACTGATTCTACATATGATCTGTAGTCACTGAATTTTCAGCCATTTGTGCTTATTTATTTTTAAACAGTCCAGGTGTACTTCTTGAGGATTTGATACTTACTGTTCCAGAAAGTCCCAAATATGCTGGAACACCTCTGGGCTGAGGAACTCACTTGTCTGGGTGCTCTGTGACATGGCGGATCGGTAATAACTTTCTTTCCAAGAGAAATGAGCTGGGGTTTCTACGAAACTTAAAAGGACAAAAAAAAAAAAAAAATGAAGCTAAGATTATAGTTTCTGTATTCAAGAAACTGGTCAATGAAATAAAAATATAAACTACCTGGAAAACACCAATGAATCTATAGAGTCTTACAGACATACTTAGCACAGTTCCTAAGTTTCACAATTGCTGTTTCTTTCTAAAGCATCATGAGCCATATTCCTCCATAAATCAGACAGAACTTCCCTTGCTAGACAATCGAGTCTTTTTTTTCATCAAATTCATTTCTCTTAATTAATAGCACTGTTATTGTATGCTGTACTTACAGTTTCCAACACAGTGTAGATTTCAAAAAAGAAAATAAACACCCCTTCATTAAGTCTGAAGGCAAGGCCAACCTATCATTAGACCTATTTTATAGGTGCCTCAACTGACTCTCTGCCCTTTCTGCCTCCAGCAGGTAAAAAGTAGAGTTGAAAAATAGAAGTGATTTCAGAGAACTTAAGTTTCACCTTCAGATTAATAACTTCTCTTGTAATCACAACTTTAGCATAACACTCCAGGACAATAAACATAAGCTTTGGGACCAAAGACTTTATTTTTTTAATCACTAGTTGCTGACCATGGAGTGTGTGGAGGTGCTCCTTAATTAGAGTTAGGATCCAAGGTTAACTGAGGGATAAACAAACACCGGGACTCTGTGCCAATTAGTGTCATTTCAGTTGGTTCATTTTGCTGCTAGATCCTCGAGTATGCTTTTTTTTAAAATTCAACTTTGATCTTTGTTTATCTAGAGTGAAACTCCAGCTCTCTTAGTTGATATATTTTCCAAGTCGGAACAACATTATCTGCCCAGATAATCTGGGTAGTGATTTGCTATAATGATCAGTGGGCTAATTTTACCTCACAATGAAATTAGTTCTGCCCTTAAATCATTGCTCTTCATATTAAAAAAAAAAAAAGTTAAATTAATAGTGTGTAAGGGCATTCAATCTTCTCTCTACCATTTCAGTGGTTTATTCTGTATTCTATTTAGATGGTAGGAAATGACAGCCCTGGGCTTATCAACAAATGCTTACAGAGCTACCGTAGTAGCATGTTCACTTGATCAGGTTAAATATATAAAAATAATGAATAAAATACACATTATTCACCAAGAAGCATATGAGTAGTGGAAATAAAAAGTGAGTATGACTGTCTCATTCCTCTGGGAGGTCATAGTAGATAAAAGAGCAAAACAAATCCATAATAAATGTGGTGAGTAAAAACATCTATATAAAAGCATGATAGATAATTTTTGAAGAGACAAGTGGCCTAGGGAGAGTTGGCAAGAGCGAAAGAGCTAGTGTGCAGAGTAGATAGAATACCAAGGAAATCTACCAGTTACCTGTCTCTTCCACTTTGGGCTACTGTCAGATATGAAACGACAGTAATCCAATGGATAACCAACTTATAGGTTGTGTCAAAAGACACATAGGACTTATGTTGAAAGCTGCTTCTGTAAGCTATTCTTTAAACATTTATTTTTAATTTTAATCATGTGTACGCATGTATGTCTGTGCGGGTATATGTGCAGGAGTGCAGGTTTTGGTGGAACCCGGAAGGAAGAGTGAATTGGATATCTTGGAGAGGGAGTTACAGGTGGTCGTGAGCTTCCAGGTGTGAGCTTCCAGGATGCAAACTCAGCAGTACACCTCTAGACTGAGCCATTTCAATAGCCCCTTTATAAACCATTTTAAATGTGCTCTTTTACTTGAAGATCATTATAGATTCATAAATAATTAAAATAAATATTATAGGGAGATCTCAAATATCTTCTACCCAGCTTTGTCCAATGGAAGTATTTTACAAAACACACCATGTGCCGTACTATCACAGCCAGGACACTGATTTGAATGAGAATCACACATCTTTTCCAAAAATCCTCATTGCCACACTTGTGTGTGTCCATGTGCAAGTACATGCATATGTGTGCGTTGTATGTATTCTACATATTTACATGTTTTTCTCTGCTAAGGCAGTGTATCTGTCTCCACAAGGCTAAAGGATTTGAAGCATGGGATGGATGCAATCAGACTATAAATATATATTACTCATCTGTCTGGATATTGAATGCAGACGGACCGAAAGTAATTGTTTATCTCATTGTTTATTTATTCTAGATAAGACAAAAGGAAGAGGATAAAATAGTCATACAATTCAAACTCTATAGGAGTAGTGTTGAATATGTGAGACTGGGTAGATCAGGAGACAGATGTGAGGAAACCAAGAACCACTATCTTAAGAGCCATTCCTTCCAATGTGAGAGCTCTTCATTATTGTTAAACACATCTGAAGCTGTAGTTAGGGTCTTCCAATTGCATCAGAAACTAAGACACCAAGGGGAATTCCCCAAATACCACACATGTACAAAAATAAAGAACCTAAATTAAAACAAAACAAACAAACAAAACTCTCTGATATCATAGTGAAATGTAGGAACTTCCTATTCCCCCACCATTCTCTTGTGAACTTTCTAAGAGAACCTGGACATGAATACCCTAAAATGGGACTGCAGATATGGCTCAGTGTTTAAGAACAGTTGTTGCTCTTCTGGAGGACTCAAGATCGCTTCCCAACACTCCTGTCTGGTGAAATACAACCACCTGTAACTCCAGTTCTGGTGGATTTGAAGCCCTCTTCTGGGCTCTATGGAAGCCTTCCCACACTTGATGTGCACACATGGACATGGACAGACAGACAGACACACACACACACACACACACACACACACACACACCATTTTTAAAAAAGAAAAAGACAAAACTTAAAGGAATATCCAGTCCTCTTGTCCTCCATAATTTGAGAGGGGAAAAGTGTTACTTTCCATCAGTAGCATATTACCTATCTCAAAGATATTCACAAACGTTTCTTTAAATTATACAGTGCAGAACCCAATGGGCTAGTGCCTGCATCCTCTGACATATAACTTCTCCCTTCTGGTGAGTGGCTACAGTCATTGTTTCTAGAGTATGCTATCCTTTGGTTTACTTTGCTGAGTAAAGTTCTGCTTAAACTGTGTGGATTTTTTCTTCCAAGAAGACAAAAAATTAGAAATGCAAATTTAGTTAAATATTGACATCCAAAGGGACAGGAAGAAATGAGAGGGAAAGGCAGATGAAGGGGAGGAAAAAGAAGGGAGTAGTGAAGAGAAATGAAGGGATGGCAGAGGAAGGGAAAGAAGGTCAAGGTTCTATATTAGGATATGTCCAAGTATCTCCCTGAGAGTTAATTCTTGTTCTGTAGACCAGCATGCAAAACACTGCAGATGAGGGGAATAGAGAGGTCACCCAGTGCCACAGGGCAAGAAGGGTGAAGTAAGCCTTGCCCAGCTTTCAAGTCTTTGCCTATGGTTGAATCTCTGTATCAAGTACTCATGCAACAATGGCTCTCTTCAGAGGTCTTTGTCAAACCAGTCACACCCAAACACTAGAAATAAGAAGTTGCTTTATTTTATTGTTTTTGTTTGTTTTTACATTTTGTTTGTTTTGCTTGCTTCTTTTTTCCTAAACAGACTATCCTTCACTCTTTATATTAATTCAGAAAGAAACACTTTTCTTTGTACAAATTACTGGAAAACAACAAGGAGTCAACAGTTGGCATCTCCATTTGCCTTCCCTTTCCCACAAAAAACATCACTTCCAGCTTGAGTATGCTCATTTACCATATGGAAAAGCTGAACTAAAACACCACACCAAACAAGAACAATCAGGCCAGCTCTGTTGTGCTTTGACTTGGCTCTTTCCTTGCAGTCTTGAAAAATAAATTAGGACATGAGATGCTAAGTCTTACCATTCCTGGGCTAACCCATGGCTTTTTAGTAGCACTCATACCCACTGTTTTCCAAATATTGGGATATCATTTTAAAAATAAAGCCACCATATTTCCCTTCAGAACACATAGATATTAATAACTAAACCTAGAAAATCACTTGAGTCTACGTAAGCATGCCCTAAATCAGCTACAAAGCAAGCTGGAAACATATTGCTGCTACTTGATTTCTTGACTCAAAGAGCTCATGACAGTTCTCAGCAACTGTGATGGAGGGAAAAGCTGCTTTTCCAGAAGCCTCCTCTGCAGCTGGGATCACACTGGAAGTGACACGGATTGAGGGATGTGTTTACGCATGAGTCCCGGCTATGAAGGATGTGTAGCCATGTCTAGTTCACCCATCCTTGCTAATGTCACAGCACAACTGAGGTCCCTATAGAATGAACTTCCTGAGATCCATCGCTGTGCTGCTATGTTGGCTCTTGGAAAGCAGGTTAAATTGCATGGGACTTTCCAAGTGATGGTTAATCACAGCTCTTCTTTGAACTCATAGTTACGAAATACGTTTTAAAGAAAATTACACTAAAATTCTAAATACACGAAAATGAATATTTAAAAGCCATCTCTTCTTAAAATTTTTGCTATCTATCATCAGTGTTCCTGAAAGCCATTTTTAAAAGAAATATGGTAGAATGGCTTATCTAAGAAATAAAATTTTCTGTGAATTCTGGGCCTTCTCTCTGAAAGAAAGCACATAACACCCTTGAGTCCTGTGCAGGTGACTCAACCATCTGCTGAGACTCCAGTATGTGGGAGGCCATATCGAGGGGTTAGCAAATGAATAGGATGTATGGCTTTTTGAAAAATAATTTTTTCATAGACGCTATTAATAGAGTGCTTTTAATGTTGCCTTAATTTTTGCTCTTTATCAGAGCATTTTGCACACTAGTTTCTAATTTCCCACTGGCTTATGAACTTCTGAGGGGCAGAAATGCCACCTCAGTACAGTCCCTCTGGTTTGCACGCTGCTTGTCTGGTGCTTGGCAGTCTAGCTTTACTGTGAATTGAGGTGCAAACTGTCTGGGGCCTGCTTTTCCAGTTATGCAGAGGCCCTCTGGCCTCAGAGAGGAGAAAGCAGGTTATTCAAGTTCACTCAGGCAGTACATGATAAAGCGGGGATTTGCGTCAAGATTGTGTTGCTTCAAAGTTATGCCTTATTA